GAATAGTGAAGACCAGTCTTTTTTGGCAGGGTGTCTGGCGACCGGTGGGTGAACAGTGACGACCGGTCGCTTTTTGGCAGATTCGTTTCTCTGTTTTTCCAGTTTCGACCTTTGTCCCATTTTTGACCTATACTTTCCAACTGTTTGTTCAAATTTCAAGTTCTTTATACGATTGGATTCAGCACAGAAAATAGAAGAACACAGTGCAGACCAAAAGTCAAAAACAATTACGGAAACAAACAAAATTTAGTAAAGAAGACACACAATGTTTCAAACACACACACACATTGGGGGGGGGGGGGGGATTTGATTTGAGGGACCTATTTCTAATGCTTGAATGTAAATGAACTCTAATTTTAACAAGAATAGGAGGAATGAAAATCAAAATGTGAAAGTAAAATGTAACAAACACTAGGGTTTCAGAATCCACCCTAAACAATTCTACCCTTGTTCATGGACACTCAAGTGATGAACTCTAAATGTGTTGATGTAGATGTTCGCAATCAAGACCGGGTTTAGTGGCTCAAGACGCATTGATTCTCTCTAATATAAGTAGAGTGCAGGGCTAGTGCTACAATACTTGTGCCTTCCTTATAACCAAATCTAGGTGTGCTTAGTACTTCGATTCAATTACAAGAAAAACTCATTAAGTTCAAAGAGAGTATGAACATCACAAGAACCCTAATGGTGCGTTTGGATGAGGGAAATAAACTTGGAATTTTGACAAAACTCAGAATTTCAAAATTGACATGAACCAATTCCCGTGTTTGGATAAAAAAAAACATAGAAATTTAGAAATTCCGTGTGGGAAAAAACATGGAATTTGGTGATAATAAATCCCAACTTTAAATTCTATCTAAAAGTCGTCATTTCTAAAATCTCAAGAGAGATTGAGTTTTTAAAAAAGACAACTTTACAAATAAAGTTTAAATTCCGTGTTTTAAATCCATCACCCAAACAAGAGACTTTACAAATTCTAGAATATTAATTTCCGTCATTTTAAATTCCGTCATTTATGAAGTCCTTTGTACTTTTAAACTTCCTCATCCAAACGCACTGTAGTATGATGTTTACATTAGGTATTCAAGAAACCAATTCACATGGATGATTCTTACTTCATCCATTTATTGCTTAGGAAAACGATAGAATACACATAATCCCAACAACCTCAAGAAGCATACTTTCAAAGATGATCAATAAAAGAAAAACATACATCAAGGATAGATTATTTTAGTGAATGGGAATTCATCAGCAATATCAAGAAATTCATACACTCAAGCATCAAAACAATGGAGTATTCATGTTTAGGGCTTCAACCTAAGCCCTAGCTATGGAGTTTAGTTCCTCATACTTATTTCAAACACAAATTCAAAACAAAACTAGAAAGAGTTTACAGATTTTGTGAAAGTGATGGAAGTTCAAGGTCTTCAATGGTTTCATTCTAACCAAGGTAAAATCTATGAAAACACACAAAGGAAGTAAAAAGCTATAAAATGTCAAGAACTAACTCAAAATAATGGGTGAATAACATGATAAATCATGTGTAAAAATGAACCCAACAGATACTGGGAGTCATTTTGCTCCTAAAATTTTTGTACCTTCATTGCTTACGAAGGGGAAAAAGGGAAAGCGCTTCAAGTGATTCAGACAAATTTCTCAAGGTGTCTTATCAAAGCCTTCTAACAGCTACTGATGCATTCTCCTCTACCAACTTGATTGGCATGGGCAGTTTTGGGTCCGTTTATAAAGGAGTACTTGAAGATGGTGGAGCAATAATTGCAATCAAGGTTTTCAATCTCGTTCGTCGTGGAGCCTACAAAAGTTTCACTGCTGAGTGTGAGGCTTTGAAAAATATAAGACACCGTAATCTTGTGAAAGTACTCTCAGTGCGTTCAGGTTCTGACTATAGCAGTAATGATTTCAAGGCCTTAATTTATGAGTTCATGGTTAATGGAAGTTTAGAGGAATCGTTGCATCCTGCTGGAACAAATGGAGAGATAAATGATAGGCAAAGGAGCTTAACTTTTTATCAAAGATTGAACATAGCGATTGACGTTGCTATGGCGTTAGAGTATCTCCATCATCATTGTCATACACCAACAGTTCACTGTGACCTTAAACCCAGCAACGTGCTTCTCGGCGATGATATGATCGGACATGTAGGTGACTTTGGGTTGGCAAAATTCCTCCCCATTGTTTGTGCTTAATAAATCACGGCCATAAGCTGGCCGAAGGAACCCCTTCTCTCGGCCCTGGCACTTGTTTGTAAAACTAAAACACGGCGTTTCTCCAGGGTACTTCGCCTTTCTAAAGACAAAAGAAAAATGCTAAGGCATGATCATCTCGGCCTTAAGTGCAGGCCGAGGCCGAGGCCGGGCAATTTCACGGCCAGAGGCATTAAAAGCAAATCATCACGTGACAACAGGGTCCCAGGCTTCATTTAATGAAGTAGTGCCTGTTTAAATGCAGCAAACCCACTGGCCACAAAGGAGCATTTAATGCACGAGGGAAGGTGGGAAGTGACTGAAGTCAGGATTTGGTGACGCGGATCAGAGTGATTAGACGTGGACATTCTCACAAAAAATTCTGACAGTTTGAGATATTGGTTCACCAGCTATCCAGGCCATAAATGCGTCTCCACGGCCAGAAGTTCAGAACCCACGATCGAGAGCGGC